ACTTAGCAATTAGCTGACAGGAGCACTGTATCTAATTCCTATATAAAAGGAAGGAAAATAAATATTAGACTCACTCAGCTCTAATATTAACATGTTCTGACATCTTGTGGCAAGTCACTTAAGGGACACTGGTGAGGTTTAAAATTTTAATGTATATTCTTACTTTGTTACTAACTCTGTAGAGAGACTGTCAGGTCCTGGGTTCTATCTCAGCTCTGGGATAGAGCTGAGATAGAACCTAGGTGGGGTCTAGTGGGTTACAGTGCGGGGAGGGGGGCAGATACATCTGGGTTCTATATAAGAACAGAATGGCCATACTGAGTAAGACCAGTGGTCCATCTAGCCCAGTATCCTGTCTTCCGACAGTGGCCAATGCCAGGTGCTTCAGAGGGAATGAACAGAACAGCCAATCATCAAGTGATTCATCCCCTGTCACCCACTCCCAGCTTCTGGCAAACAGAGGCTAGGGACATGCAGAACATGGTGTTGGAGCCCTGCCCACCCTGGCTAATAGCCATTGATGGACCTATACTCCATGAACTTATCTAGGTCTTTTTTGAACCCTGTTATAGTTTTGGCCTTCACAACATTCCCTGGCAAAGAGTTCCAGTGGTTGACTGTGAAGAAATATTTTCTTTTGTTTTAAATCTGCTGCCTGTTCATTTCATTGGGTGACCCCAGGTTTTTGTGGTATGTAACGGAGTAAATATTTCCTTATTCAATTTTTCCACACCATTCATGATTTTATAGACCTCTATCATAGTCCCCCTTAGTCATCCCTTTTCCAAGCTGAAAAGTCCCAGTCTTTTTAATCTCTCCTCAAACAGAAGCTGTTACATACCCTAATCATTTCTGTTGCCCTTCTGTGTACCTTTTTCCAAATCCAATATATCTTTTTTGAGATGGGGTGACCAAATCTGCATACAGTATTCAATATGTGGGCGTACCATGGATTTATATAGCAGCAATATGATATTTACTGTCTTATTTATCCCTTTCCTAATGATTCCCAATGTTCTGTTAACTTTTTTGATTGTCACTGCACATTGAGCAGATGTTTTCAGAGAACTATCCACAATGACTCCCAGATCTCTTTCTTGACGGGTAACACCTAATTTAGACCTCATTATTTTATATGTATAGTTGGGATTATATTTTGCAATGTGCATTACTTCACGTTTATCAACATTGAATTTCACCTGCTATTGTGTTGCCCAGCCACTCAGTTTTGTGAGATCCTTTTGCAACTCTTTGCAGTCAGCTTTGGACTTAATTATCTTGAGTAATTTTGTATCATTTGCAAATTTTGCCACCTCACTGTTTACTTCTTTTTCCAGATCATTTACGAATATGTTGAACAGTACTGGTCCCAGTACAGACCCCTGGGGGATGCCACTATTTACTTCTCTCCATTCTCACCATTTATTTCTACCCTTTGTTTCCTATCTTTTAACTGGAGTGCCTGGCACAACTTTCAGGATCATCCAACTATCCTTAATTTAATTTAATTTAAGGACAAGTCTTTTGTTAACTTAATCACCCTGCCTCTGTTTATAAACAAACTCCCTGCCCAAAAGGCAGAAGCTGGGAGCAGCACAGGACTCATCACATATTACACTCAAGCTCTGTTGCAGTTGACAGCTCCCTCTGGGGCTAGGGCATGTGTTGTGAGCAGACCTCAGGTACAAAACTCACACCGGAGGGGGGCTAGAGCCCTCCCATCCCCCCAAATGGTGCACCGACTGCTGTGGCGAAATGATTTTGTGAAAACTGGCCACTTCATGTAGGTGCCTAAATGGAAACTGAGCTATTTTGAAAATCTGTACCCAATTGTGCATGCTGAACACTTACAAATCTGGACATAAGGTCAGACAGGAAATAGAAGAGACACAGATTCCAAAATATTCCTAAACTTGTAGCTAAGTTCAGAGGTGAAAAGTCCAGGCCAACAACGCTAAAAACTAAAATCCTCTATTTATACATATGTAACCCTTCTGCCCATCTGAGTTGGCAGCAACAAGGGCCGGGTTCAGTATCCAGGGGTTCTGTTTCAATAACGCAATGCAAAACCGGCTTGAGCCCCCATCCAGTGACAATTACATACCACCCCCTGGGCGCCTCTAAGAGAGGATACTTCCCCTCTTGCAAGCACGGAGTCTGAATGTAGTAGAAAATGTTTAATAACATGAGGTAAACAACATCAACATTAAATTGGGAAAACACTACAAACAGGATTCATAACACAAATCATGAGCAAAAGACCCACCCCCAAAGTCCCAAAAGTCCAACACCTCAAAAGTCTCTTGAGTCTAGCAACCCAAGAATCACCCAAAAGTCTCTGTCCCTGGTCAGTACAGCCCCAGAGTTCAAAAGTTTATCTGCAGATTCTTCCCCGCCCCCCAGCCTGGGTGGAAATAGGGGGGGAGAAAGGGGCATGCAGGGTATTAAGGGGCATCTTACGTGGTCCGAGGCCAACTGCCCCGCCTCTCCATGGGGTTCTGCTGCAGTCTTCACCATGAGCCGCTCCGCTCCTCCAGTTATCCTGTGGGCCGCGCCAACCGTCCTGCAAACGGCTCTGCTCTGTTCCACTCGTCATCCTGTGTGCCGCACCAACTGTCACGCAAACTTCTCAGCTCCGCTCCACTCGCCATCCCGTGGGCCACGCCAACCATCCCGCAAACTGTTCTGCCAGCCACTTAGCAATAAATCTTTAGGCTCCCCCATTAGTTAACACAGCACTCACTGATTTCAGCTTGTAGTAGGGAAGCCCTAGTGCTGGTGCACCATTGGCCCAAAGTGAATTCAGCATAGCAGCCTGTAACTAGACTCTTAATAGAATCAAAATGAGCTCTGCTATTCCACAGTGGGAAGAGAAGGTGCAATTGGTGTTTCAGGCCCTCAAGAGGGGCCCATACCATCAGGTACAGATACCTGTCCCCAACCTCTCTCAATTCACTGAGTTTTGGAGCCCATGTCCCTTGTCTAGCGAGTGCTACTTAGGTGATGGTGAGACCCTCTGTCATAAAACAGTTTCATTGTCCTTGATTCACATAATCAGGGTAACAACACTTTATTCCTCCTGCCCCAATAACAGAGAAACTGGGGATCCCACAGCAGCCAAAGTGACCATTTTGGGCTGCCGTGGGCTCATGCTAGGCGGGGTGGGTGTGCCTGCACAAACAAGATTAGCCCCTGAAGTTCTTTTCCATACTCGCCATAATTCCCCACCAGATGTCAGGGTAGAGCTCATCCTGACTCTGCTTACACATAGAAGTGCTCAGACGCCATCCAATGGTCCAGGGACACCTACATCGAGCACATCACCGGCCACTGACAGTACCAGGAGGCGTGAGCCAGAGTGACATCATTCTCCCACTACGAGAAAGGGACCAAGTGACCTTCTCCGTTGGATCATATGAACTGGAACCATAAACTCCCTGAACATTAAATCTCACCAAATGAGGGTCAATGCATCCTCATCATCATATCCACTCATTATACTCTACAACTGAACATAGCCACTCTATGAACTTCATACCCTCATATCTCAATGCCTGTACTTTGACCCATCAACCTTTTACCCGCAATCGGGGATATTGCAGATTATGTATTCCTTATGCCACCGGATCTTAAACCAAACTTTGCACCCTCGATAATCTGTACGTTATTCCCTGATAACCAGAAATTTCTATGCTCAAACTCTGTTCACTATTTTTTTTTAACATCACCTTAATAAAATTTTTAAATAGTGCTAACTTGCTCCACTGCTCTGTCATTATGTTCCTACCTAGACCTGGAATGAAGACCGTTTCAAGGGGAAGGAAGGCAGTTAATTTGTGTGGCCTCCTGGCCAATATTGACAACACGGGAGATAGTTAACACTAACGCTGTTGGTTTTGGTGATGTAAACACTTGCTCCCTAAGATCAACAGGTAGGTCCAAAGAAAAATTCATTCTGAATATTAGGGAAATCTTTATGATGTTGAGATGGTTTAGATCAGAGGCGGGCAAGCTGCGGCTCGTGGGACCCTCTTGCCCGGCCCTTGAATTCCTGGCTGGGGAGGCTAGCCCCCGGCCTCTCTCCTGCTGTCTGCCCTCCCCCGCAGCCTCAGCTCGCCATGCCACCAGCGCTCTGGGCGGTGGGGCTGAGAGAGCCGCCAGCCTGCCCTGGTGCTCTAGACTGTGCGGTGGCATAGCTGGCTCTGGCCGGGTGGCACGGCTGCCAGTTCTGGTGCTCTGAGCAGCATGGTAAGGGGGCAGGGAGTGTGGGGGTTGGATAAGGGGCAGAGGGTCTCGGGGCAGTCAGGGGACAGGGAGCAGGGGGTGGCTGGATGGGGCAGAGGTTCTGGGTTGGGAGTGGTCAGGGGATGGGGAACGGGGGGGTTGGATAGGCATAGGGGTCCCGGGGGGCTTGTCAGGGGGCGGGGGTGTGGATAGGGGTCGGGGCAGTCAGGGGATAGGGAGCGGGGGTGGTTGAATAGGGGCTGGGGCCCCAGGGGGGCAGTTAGGGGCAGGGGGTCCCGGGAGGGGGCAGTCAGGGGACAAGGAGGGTTGGATGGGTCAGGGGTTCTGAGGGGGGCAGTCAGGGAGCAGGAAGTGGGAGAGGGCGGATGGGGGCGGGGACCAGGCTGTTTGGGGAGGCACAGCCTTCCCTACCCAGCCCTCCATACAGTTTCGGAACCCCGACGTGGCCCTCAGGCCAAAAAGTTTGCCCACCCCTGGTTTAGATAATAATTTCTTCAATGGAAATGTGTGCAAGCCCCATCACCTAATATATTTACGATCATACCAGACAAACTGATAGGAATGTAAAATAGAAAAGAAGCTTGGCAAAGAGACTGACTGATTTCTGATAGTCCTAGAGAATGAAATCCCCTATCAGTGCAGCCTTTCACCAGTGCTAAAGCATTTATTTACTTGTTGGCTGCTGGTCACTAGGTGGTGCTGTTGGCTCACATGTTGACTACAGCTGAAAAAGGCATAATTTTTTTTAACCCGCTGTACTGCAGAATCCCATTGCAGCAGGAAACCAATGCATTTGAATATGGCTTATTTGGTTTCCTCTGCTCCAGAGGACCTGCCCCAGATTGTCAAGTGCAGAGTGCACCACAGTCTGCACCTTACAGAACATTTTCCACTATGGTAAGAAAATTGAAATAATTCAATACAGTCGCCATCAAGTACTATATAATTCTCACTGTAATAACACATACAACTTCTTTACAACAGAGAGAGGATTAAAACAGCTTTCTTTCTGGGACAATTTTGAGAAACAATCCCTAGAAAAGGTTAAAAAAGTCAAAGAAACACTATGAAATGTCTATGGATGTTTGAGCATAATAATGCAACTTTGCAACTATTAGCCCATCTACTCTGCAATCCCATATTGAACCATATTGGATCAATCTGGAATTGTATCTGTTCTTTCAACTGGAGAAATCACTCTTTGATTTTCTTGCTAAGGCCAGTTGCTAAAGCAAAATAACTGCTGTGTTCCATTGCAGAAGCATCTGCTTTTTAGAAGAGGGCAAACAGATCCCTAAATTTACAATTTGTAAATCAGATTGGGATCCTCCAGGAAGATATCAAAAAAAGATCAGTTGTATATATGATAAATATAATATAATTAATATAATTATAATACTATGCTTAAAATCATAGGATAAGAATAGATTAAAACAGAGACATAGTTAACTTTTTGTTTCAACAATACATGTATTTGGCAGAACAAATTTGTATATATAGCCACAACAATAATGCTTAATAAACTAGAAGATAATCCATTTGTAAGGCATCTGTAGATATTTTATGACTGAAAAAATTGAGTCTGAAATGATCTAACTGTTGCAATTTCACCAACCGATATGAGGACTGTTTATTCCTGTTTTTGTTCAGTGCCTTTAGTTTCCTTCAGCATCTCTTGCCAGTTCTTTTCCATCTCTTCTTTGCAGTTCAGGAATGCATCTTCCAGTCGCCTCATGGAGTTGGCCAAGTCTGGGTTGGTACGCATAACCACCATATCATATGCCATCCAGGTTGCCTGCACTGCAACAACCCAACCAACAGATATTAGAAATTCAGCAATGTTGGGATGGCAGATGGCAGGGAAATAATTGATATTCAGGGAAACAGTAGTGGGAATGAATGGGTACCAGTTCTAATCCTTGGCTGAGTGTTCCTACTATGTAATAAACTGAGCAGGGTGGGAAGTGATTTTTTCTGTTCACAGAAAAATCTGCAATTTTGGATTTTTTTCCATTACAAAATAGAGTGAAAACTAAACAAAAAATGAAATTTCTCATGAAACGCAATTAAAATTTTTTGTCAATCAAAATGTTTTGTTCCAACTTTGATTTTTTTCATTTTACATTATGTCAAATTTAAAACACTGAAATGAAATGTCATTTCAAAATGGAAAATCAAACCATTCTGTTCTGAAAAAGCTGAAATATAATGTTTCAACCTTACCAAAACACTTTTTCAAATTTTCTTTTGAAACAAAATTTCATTGAAATTGACAGTTTCTACGTTTTGCTTTTGATGAATTGGTATTTTTTGACAGAAAAAGTTCAGTTGGAAAATTCTAATTAGCTCTAATAATAGCCAAAGAGCACACTCAGCTCAGTGCTTACAAGTAACCCTGGAGTAACAAATCACTTTGCACAATCCCATCTTTCCTAATCAGTCCCACAATATCAAACCAATGTGAACAGCTCCAAGTATCTAGGCAGCCTACACTAACAAACTACTGTTAAGCATCAGAGGGCTAACTGTGTTAGTCTGTATCCACAAAAACAAGGAGGAGTCTGGTGGCACATTAAAGACTAACAAATTTATTTGGGCATAAGCTTTTGTGGGTAAAAAGCCCACTTCTTTAGATGAATGGAGTGAAAATTACAGATGCAGTATAATAATGCCTGCATCTGTAATTTTCACTCCATGCATCTGAAAAAGTGGGTTTTTTACCCATGAAAGCTTATGCTCAAATAAATTTGTTAAACTACTGTTAGCAATCCTCTGATAATCAGTTAAGCATTCCCCATTAATACCATAGTAAATCGGTACAAACTGCCCATTACCTCACAAGCAGTCCTACAATGAGAAACAATTCACACCCACCAGTGCTCATGAGCATATCAATAAAACTTGATAGCTACTTTTATACAGACTCTCAACATTTTATGGAGTTAAAATGTTGGAACCACTTGCAGCATTTCTACACTAATGTTCCTAGCTACTACTGGTGCTGCAGCAGTAAGAAAATTGAAGGAAACTTCTAGTGTAGACAAGACCTTGGAATCTGGTGTTGATAGTCATGTTAACAAATCTGAAATTTACTTTCCACAAATATTCTTTAAAACCCACTTAAAAATTTATGATTCTGTAAACATCCCTTTCAATAAATTCATTCACTGGAATATCTGTAGAAAATGGGCACAATGGATACAAACATATTATGAGCAAATTTGATATAAATGTAAATAAATATTTGCTGAAAGATTTTTTTATTTTATTTTTTGCAGTATTTCTCCAGCTCTAGTAGTCAGTGGAGTTTGAGGACTGGGGGTGGGGAAATGTGTGATCTTGCTTTTTTGTAGATGTGAAGGTAAGAAGCAGTATCTGTGCACACTGAAAAATTAATATATGTGATTTAGGGAAGCTAAGCAATAACTAAGAAAATAGCATATGCAGTCCTGTGCTCAGTAACAACCCTGTGATAACAAATCATCATTTGCATAAGTGACTCTATTTACAAACCATGTGACCTTACAATAAAGACACATGCACAGGCATATTGGTGGAGGAAATCACCCCATATTTCACTTTATAGTATCTTAGATGAGTTGAAAGAGTGATTTTCTGCTGAGACAAGCTCAGCTCTAAGTCTGGTCCTTGATTGGGTGGCACCTCTGCTCATTGGTTATGTCCATTCTAGTGCATGATAAGTAATTTAACACTTAAACTACTAGCATTTTCCAGAATTGACAATGTAAGCATAGATGAGCACTTTATCTATGATGAGTGGCTAAGATGCTTTAGCTTGCATTGTTTGAAGAGGAGAAGGCTACAGGGAAATCTTAGAAGGGAATCATAAAAATGTGTGGAAAGATTTATCTAAACCCCTTCCCATTATGCATACAAAATTGAGATTAAATTAATCTTTTATTTTCCCAGTTGGATAATTAATGTTTGTCATTCTCTGATCCTGGAGGTACCAGTTCTTCCAATCTGAATCTATGTTTATGTTCTAATTATGTTTTTAAGCGCTGTAAATTCCTTTGTATTATTTTCTGCTCTCACTACCGACTCCTCCCACTTTAGTATTATCTTTGAATTTCATTTATGAGCTAAGCTCAGAAATGCCTTCCAGATTATTAATTATGTTAAATATGACCAGTCTGTTTCTGCAGACATTTATACCACTGTCTGTAGTAACTAAGGATTTCACGTACTGATGTTCTCCACCAGACACATCCCTCAGTTTAATACATTGTGGTCATTAGTAGAACTCAATCTCATTAACAGATTAGTAGATCTCAATCTTTCTCCTCTTATATTTCTGCTACACAGAGAAGTTTGAAGTCTACTCTCCTCTACTCTTGCATGTTTACTATTATTATTTCTATGCACTGCTGTAATGCCTTCATCCTCTAGCAGCAAATCTATATCCTCCCCAGAAAAAAGCCACACCTGATAGTTTCTCCATTTCTTCCAGAAGTTTTTCTAAATCCCTGTTCAGGTCCTCCAGCATTTTTACCATGTTGTCATAGTTTCTTTCCTGAGGTTCAGATTTGGCCATCTACAAGAAAAGCAAGAGTGGGTCAATTAGGAGGAGTGGGGAGTAAGGAAATAAAACTTTCTCATAATAAGGGGAAAGTAACATTTTAAATTGTATCTCTAATAAGATATGTAAAATTAAATACATTAATATCCTAGATTCACTTGCTAAATTCATTTAGAGCCTGTATGATGCAGTGTAGCTCTTGTGTGTTGCCTAGCACTTTCAATTCACTTTCAAATCAATAGAAGTTTTGGACACAAATATCAACAGCCTGCCAGCTCAATCCCATGCTCTTTGTGAACTTTATAGGTCACTGTACTAAATCAGACTATTAGCAGATCGTTTCTAATCTTCTGCTATCCTGGACTGGTTCTTCATCCACCTGATTTGGCAGTTCCCAATACCTGATGCTTCACTGAAAGATGTAAAATCTCCCCCAATACACTAAAACCAAATTTGAGTGTCAAAAGTTAGGCACTTATATATCATATCTGGGCACCAACATAAATAGCCTGATTTTTAGAGATGCTGAGCCTCCACAATTCACTGACCTTAGCAGAAGCTGTAAGAGCTCAGAACACCTGAAAATAAGGCGACTTGTTTAGGTGCTGAAATACAGATCTAGATACCTAACTTCAGGCAATCAGGTTCCAAAATGTTAGTACTAGCCAATTGTGACCCCAGGGACTATTGTGAAAAGTTCTAGGGGGTGAGCAGGTGAGCCCAAAACATTGAACTAATTATATGTTGCTCTGATGTTAAGAGTTGTGTGTTTTGGTGGTGGGTTTTTTTTTCTGGTAATTTCTGAGTTACATTTGGTGGGCATATTTTTCTAGCTTCTATTTTGAATAAATATTGTCAATAAGGAAGACAATTTTCCCCATGGGATTTAAAAGTGTTTTAAGGAAAAGGTAAGATTTCCAGCCTAAACCTAGACACCCCGATGCTTAAGGCAGCCAGGCCACCACATGCAAATTTCATGAGGAAGCTTGGATATTGAGAGATTCTTTGTCTCAAAGCCCTGCTTGTAACAGAACACACACCCTCTTGTCTGTTCCACAATATGAGGTGCTGTTTGCATTCATTCACCATCTTACACCACTTTTAAGACACAGGAAGCTGTAAAGCATTGGGCCCCAATCCTGCAAAGGGAGCCAGACCCTGGTGTTTGAGCAGAGCACCCCTGACATAGAGCCATAGACTATCAGGGTTGGAAGGGACCTCAAGAGGTCATCTAGTCCAATCCCCTGCTCAAAGCAGGACCAATCCCCAACTAAATCATCCCAGACAGGGCTTTGTCAAGCCGGGTCTTAAAAACCTCTAAGGAAGAAGATTCCACCACCTCCCTAGGTAACCCATTCCAGTGCTTCACCACCCTCCTCGTGAAATATCCAACCTAAACCTCCCCCACTGCAACCTGAGACCATTACTCCTTGTCCCGTCATCTGGTACCACTGAGAACAGTCTAGATCCATCCTCTTTGGAACCCCCTTTGAGGTAGTTGAAAGCAGCTATCAAATCACCCCTCGTTCTTCTCTTCTGCAGACTAAACAATCCCAGTTCTCTCAGCCTCTCCTCATAAGTCATGTGCTCCAGCCCCCTAGTCATTTTTGCTACCCTCTGCTGGACTCTTTCTAATTTTTCCACATCCTTCTTGTAGTGCGGGACCCAAAACAGGACACAGTACTCCAGCTGAGACCTCACCAATGTCGAATAGGGGTGAATGATGACACCCCTCAATCTGCTGGCAATGCCCCTACTTATACAGCCCAAAATGCCATTAGCCTTCTTGGCAACAAGAGCACACTGTTGACTCATATCCAGCTTCTGGACCACTGTAACCCCTAGGTCCTTTTCTGCAGAACTGCTGCCTAGCCGTTCGGTCCCTAGTCTGTAGCAGTGCATGGGATTCTTCCGTCCTAAGTGCACTTGTCCTTGTTGAACGTCATCAGATTTCTTTTGAACCAATCCTCTAATTTGTCTAGGTCCCTCTGTGTCCTATCCCTACCCTCCAGCATATCTACCATTCCTCCCAGTTTAGTGTCATCTGCAAATTTACTGAGGGTGCAGTCCACACCCTTCTCCAGATCATTAATGAAGATGCTGAACAAAACTGGCCCAGGACCGACCCCTGGGGCCAGGGCCGGCTTCAGCAGGTGCAGAGCCCCACACTGGGACGCGAATTGTCTTGCGCTCCCCCGCATTGGATCCCTCCCCAAATCCCCGCCCCTTCCCTGCCCCATTGGATCCCTCCCCAAATCCCCACCCTGGCCCCGCCTCTTCCCCAATCACGCCGCATTCCTCCTCCTCACCCCTCCCTCCCAGGTTTGTGCTGACCAGCTGCATGGCGGCGCAAGCGCTGGAGGGAGAGGAGAGAAGCAGGACGTGGCTTTTTTTTTTTTCTGCTCTGCCGGCAGCCCTGGACGTTGCGGGGCCCTCTTAGGCGCAGGGCCCTATTCCGGGGACTCAGCCGAATCGGCTTAAAGCCGGCCCCGCCTGGGGCACTTCGCTTGATACCGGCTGCCAACTAGAGATGGAGCCATTGATCACTACCCATTGAGCCCAACGATCGAACCAGCTTTCTATCCACCTTGTACTCCATTCATCCAGCCCATACTTCTTTAACTTTAACTGTGGGAGACCGTATCAAAAGCTTTGCTAAAGTCAAGGAATAACATCCACTGCTTTCCCCTCATCCACAGAGCCAGTTATCTCACATCACACACATGTGCAATACAACAGGGGACGGATCTTTAAGGTCAAATTGGCAACAGGGGGACACAATTCTTTATTTGTCCACAGATGTACAGAGCCCATTCAGAAAAGGGCCAATACCTTGGGCGTCGCCTTCAGCCGCCGCCCCCAGCAGCTCTTTAGCCCCACCCGCAGCTCTGTGCCCAGGGCAGGGTCTCTGCGGCGCTGCCCGCTCTGTCCCCGCAACGGGGGTCCCGCTAACCCCCTGCCCCAGGCTCTGCCCGGGGCATGGGGCTCATTGATCCTAAATACCCGAAGCCCGCATCCCTGCCCCCGAAGACAGAGCCTCCCCCCGCCGGTCCCTATCACCCCTCCCCGGCAGATTCTCCAGCGGGCCCCGGGACCGCCGCCTCCGCCTGCAGCGAGGTGTTTTATAGCCCAGTTTAAACGGCCGCGAGCGTCTCTCCCTCCCTCTTTCCCGCCCAAACCAACTGTCTTCTTCACCCCTCCCCCTCGCGGAGCGCGCGCCGCTCAGACCAATGCGGCTTCTCCGCGCGCCCCAGAAAAGCAGCTTTGTGCCAACTCGCGCGCCTGTCTCCAGCCCACTCCACGCGCTTTCTGCCGTGTCACGTGTCTGCTGCCTCGAACTGAGGAAAAGGAAAATAAAACAGGTGGGCGAGACCGGGAAACTAAAAACTGATGTTCCCTATTCATCGTCTTCTCTTCTCTCCTCTCAAATCGGTCTCCTCACGTGCTCCGTCGTACAATAAAATGTATGTTTCACGGTTTAGAGGGAATGAAAAACAGGATGGGGAGGGGAAATGCTGGGAAGCTGGGTTAATAACTAGGGCATTGAGGCGCATTAAATCGGGCTGGGGTTTGCGCTGGCTTGACACTCATGTGCCACATTAATTTAAACTAAAGGTTTATTTTTTTCTTTAATATCTAGTTAGCTGGACCAGACAGGCAAGACCCCGACCCCTCCTCCCAACCCCAAAGGGGTAGATGGAAGCAGTCTCCCACGAAGGACTGTACATGTGTTTTTTACACTGAGAGTCTCAGGAGCTATAAAAACGTTCCCTGGTCCGTCACACCGCACCATATCAGTCCCTTGGCCCATTTCATCTCAGTAGCAATCTATCCTTTCAGTGTCATACCTCATGCCCCATACGAGGCTATCAAGCCACTGGTGCATTTAGTGTGGCATCTGACTTTACTGTATCAGATCAAACCATTGGTCTATTTGGTACTTCTCGCCATGCTGTATCTACCTAACTATTAATCCAGATAAGCTTGTGTCCTGACTCTTGCTATACCACATGATCAAATCGCTGGTCCATTTAGTTGTCTCTCACCTCCTACTTATTACTGGAAACAGTTGGGAAACTGAAAAGCCTGAGATGTTCCTCTTCAATGACACCACATTTCCTGTTTCTTGCTCCCATTCTACACACATGCCTGGTTTCCTGCTCCCTTTAAAAACAAGTGACACTGAATAATTTTAAAATTTTAATTGTTTTAAATTAAAAGAATAATCCATCTCTAATTTTAAGTGAATACTGACAAGAGGGTGGTTAGAGGCTTAAGGAATCAAGACCTATTTTCCCTGCATGCTGTCTGGAAAAGACACATCTCTCTACTCTCTGTACAATTTAGGGTATGTCTACACTACGAGAGTAGTTCGATTTTACTTAAATCGAATTTTT